GGCGAGATCGCGCCGCCCCGCCCGGAGCTCCCTGGGCTCCTCCCCGCCGGGACGCCCCGAGAAGCGAGGGGGGCGGTGGGCCGGGCTGTGCCGTGCCGGGCTGTGCCGTGCCGGGAGCGGGCGGGCATGGCAGGCGCGGCCGCCTCCTGCCCCTCGGCAGATGCGGAGCGACCTGGGCGTCGCGGAGAGCCGGCCGGGATCACGGCGCTCTCTCGGGAGGAGGTGGCAGGAACCCGGCGGTGGGGCTGTGGAGCCCGGCCGGCAGCGCCGGGAGCGGCTGCAGGCCGGGCGGGTTCCCTCTGGGTCACACCATCCCAGCGCCGCTCTCCGCGGCAAGTGTGCCGGGTCGGATACCCCGCTAGCGAGGAGAGATGCTTGGTGTAAGAAATAGAACAGAGGGTGTAAAATGGGGACTTCCAGGGAAACCGTAGTGCTGGTATTATCTGACAGCAAGGAGGTCTTAATCTGACGTCCTGGATGGGGTACGGGTCTAAAATAAGGCGGAAAGGGTTAAGTGAAGTCCAAAAAGAAGAGAAGCTGCAGTGCGTGCTCTGTGCTGTGATCGGGAGGAGCAGGAACGCGGTGCCGATGCCGAGAGGCATCCCGAGGAGAGAGCTCTCCATTATCTGCTCGGCGAGGGGCTGGCGAAGGATGGGGTTTTAAGTCAGCGGTCTCAGGCAACTTAAAAGGTAACAATATGTGTGAAACGAGTCAGCCAGGAAAGACTTAAACCCATTTATGTTGCTTTAGTAATAATACCAAGGAATAGCAGTAGGAACACAGGTATGAGAAGGTTGTTATAAAGGTGAATGTGCTTGCTTGGGAAATAAAAACTTTGTCACCTGTTAATACTAAGATATATATAAAGTTCTGCTCAGCTTTAGGTAGATGGCCTTGTAAAAACCGGTTGGTGTCTTTTTCCTACAAGGAACACACTACTGCTTAAGTAGCATAGCTGATGAGGCCTAGTTGCCTAGGGGGGGATGTTCGTTCTCATTGTTTATTTCCACTCAGTCCTCTGGATCGCTCCCTCCTGCCAAAGTCACCTGTAATTCTTTCCTCCTGCCTATGTGCCAGGCTGACAGCCATGTGCAGAGCCACCAGTCAAGAGATGTGTCATTACTCTTTCCAAATTTGTAAGAGGCTCAAGTAAAACTGAAATTAGTGGTGATATTAGTCAAGGGATGAATTGAGGTGTCTCTTCTATTCCTTGAATTCTCATGAAATCTCAGAAAATATAGTGTCTTTGAGAGTTGTATCTCAATTCTCCACTTGATTTGTCAAACTGGCAAAGACTTCAAAATCTGAGGGGCATGCAGTGACAGACAAAAGGATGGAATAACAAAACAGTCATATAAGCCCCACATCACTTAGGGTTAATTCCAGGCTAAAACTGGACCACTTATTAGTCATGTCAGTTTGTTGACTATTTTAAAGCATATTTATACTACAGTTAGACACCTCTGTGGGAGCTAAATTACTGTGAATCTCAGTAATTACAAATGGTAATTTTTTTTTTTCCAACAACGATGTATCTAGCAGAGTGTCACAGGCTGGTGAAAAATTAGGTATTGTCTCTATATCATCCATACACCATCTGTGCTGTGCATTACTGCCAGGCAGCACAGAGCCATTAGGGGAGAGTGGGGTAATAGACCTCCGCCTGCCTTTTAGTGCTCTCGGCATTCTACAGAGCAGGCTCTTCAGTGCTCTGGATCCATGTCAGAGCATTCAGAGTGAGGAGGTAACAGACAGTGTTACCTCACTGCTTCAGCCTTCCCTAAAATCTCATCTTTGGTGTTCTGTAGGAAAACCGCATATAAATACTTATACCTGAGAACCAGTATTCCCTTTACTCTGGGTTCCTGTTTTCCATTCCCTTTTCCCGATTAACCAGCTTTACTGTTTTCATCATTGTATTCCTTTACTCTACATTTATGTCACTTGTCTTCGTCTGGAGGCATCTCATCTACCCAGACCTTTGTCTGGGGGATTATAAGAAAAATCAGAATCTTCATTTTGGATTTTGACTTTTATAACAGTTCATTACAAAAGGAAGGGCAGTCTGAGGAGACACAGCAAAAACGCTGTGATTACCTTGAGCACCTATAATGTCTTTTCAGGCTGTGCCATCTTACAGGTTGAGACTAAGCTCTCGGAAAACATATTGGAATTTTGTAGGGGTGTAAAGTTTCATGAGAAGCCAAATTAAATCTCTACACCCAACTTTCAAAAGCCACTGGGAAACAAGAATTTAAAGGTTATACAGTAACCTAATTTAAAGGTTACACAATATTAATCTCCTAAAAGGCAATAAATTAAATCTCTAGGCTGATTTCCCTAGAGTACACTAACCAATGCAACTCAGCCACTAAGGAATTGATGGTTATTGTGAATGCTGGGCCAAAATTTCTAACATTCAAGGGAAAAAGAGGATCAGAGTGATTATTGTGATTTAGAATGACTGGGTGAGCCCCTTTGTCTTCAGGTCAGCTAGATTTTGTAATTACATTTAATTAGGATATCTCTTAAAGCCATGGGTTAGAGAAAATCTGATTTTCTCATGTTTGTAGAAAACAGTTTTGAGAACCAGTGGCATCCTGTAGAAGGCAATTCTATCCCATCTGTCCTTTTGGGTGTAGAAGGATAATGCTGTATTTACCTGTTACCCTTTGAAATACTTGACTTTATTAAAAAGCAGAACCCATTATATCCTACATCTCTGTGACCTGTATTTGAAAAATACCAGAAGCAGACAAAAATAGGAAATAGTCAGGTTGTGATGTGTTTGACAGTGAATGGAAAGGGCCACCATTAATTTTGTGTCACTCAAGTACCCCCCACCTCCATGAAAACCAGGAAGAACCATGATAGTGAAGATATTATGAGGGGTGTACTGGGAGAAAGTATTGGGTTGCTGAATATGGGAACCAGGGTATGAAGTAAAAATCAAAGGGCATTGTACAGGAGACAAGCTGATGTGGAGGAAATATTGAATTTGTGCAAGAAAAGTCACTGCATGGAAGAGGAAGGAAATGGAGTATATCTCAAGACTTTTGGCCTTATTTTCTATGATTGGTCTAATAACAGTGGCAGTTTTTCATAATAGTAAATAACAGTACTTAAGTCCCTTGCAAGCAAATTAGAATACCTCTGTTCCTACAATGATGCTGAAAGCTGAATTTCCAGCCTGAAGTGATTACTCACAGGGTGTGCATTCTTGCTGGCTTCAGAGCTGAGACCTGGTCTGTCATTTAATGAACTGGCCTGCACACTTGTAAAATCATGTAATTTGTGTGGAAGCTCTCTAAAGCTCAATACATTTTAGAGTAGGAAGCTGCATTTTTAAAAATTTGGCCTGTGCACCATTTGGCCTTAAAGACACCTATTTTGATGACTTAACAAATATTTGGAAGCTACACATAGCAGAAATTCTATAGCACAACTTTTAATGAAAAGGAATTTTTCTCTCGCTGACAGAATGATACGAAAGATCAGTTTGGATTAATTTGGTTTCTTCATTTCTCAATTTCCAAGGAAACAAGAAAACATGCTTGAAATGAATGTCTGGAAAATGATTTAGAGTTGCAAATTGTAATTTTTTGTTTGATTATATTAATAACAAATAGTTTCCGTAGTTTGGGCATTTTGACACACCCAAGAGCAAGAATATTGTCACACTGTATTTTGGAAGAGAGGGCAACTCTCAGAGGAGCTAACACAGCTTATTTACCCAACTTTTCTGCTTCTTCTAATTTCTTCAATTAATGGCCTATGAACAATGAAGGACAAGGGAAACATCCAGGAAATTTCAAATTAACATAGTCA